GCTACGATGGGCTATTATAGGCCCTCATCGATAGCCCATTATAGCCCATACCCCACTGCTGGTTGGGCCTTGGGCCCCATTTATGGGCTTTGTAGAGGTCTAGTTAGACATGTTTTGAGAGGTGTTTGGGGGTTTTTAATAATTCATTATCGGTCGTATATTACAAGTACTCTAGGTGAACCCTGGACTCTGAACATGCAAATGAAATAATAAATCTAGCATAGGCCGACTCTAATATGGTATTCCTTCGGTTTTCTTGCTTTCTTGTTTTTCTTACCACATACCCACTCACGGAAGCCATCTCATAAAGCAAGAAAAACCAAACCTCCAAGTCCAACTAATATCCAGAAAGGGTTCGAACATGTGGTCCCTTTTAACTGCCGAAGTATTCGAGCTATTCAAAGAAAAGATACGAATAAATTTCGGTCGTGAAAAAAAGGAAGTCGTACTCGTATTTCAAAAATATCTTTGGGTCCAAGAGGATTATTTGCTACAATATTTAGCAGTCTATTTTATGAGAGGTTAGTGAGAGAATATATGACTATGGATAAGGATTGCCAGGAGTATACCACAACTCTTTATGTGTTTTATGTTTTGAATAATGCACAAATATAGAATTAAAGGGTCATTCTGATTGGGCCATGTTTCATGTGGAAATCATAGGTCCTGCGTTATTTTATTAAGGTCTCTTCAGCAGTTTGCCTCTTATACATCTTACTTGGTGAACAAATAGAGGCAAGGCCAAAGCCCTAAAACGGAAACGTAAGACTATGCAGTGGCAGAGGAAATAAAGTACGCACGTACGAAGACACATCTATGTAGTTAATGCCTTTCGTATTTACTTGAGCTATTTCCTCTTTTAGAGAATGCTCAGAGTTGGCTTACTGAGTAATGTTAGGTCTGGGCTCAAGCACACTGGTCCCTCGTTGGTTACTTAGAGATATCTGTTCAAAACCAAGATTGAATACACGCACAACAGGGTAATTTCGGTGACATTCGGTGCGCATGACTTCTTTATGGTGCGGGTGATATAGGTTAACGCCTGTGGCGTAAATGGGCGTTCCTTAGGTGTGGGGGGTAGAGGGGGGCACAATGGTGAAGAATCATAATATGTTGTGGGGCCTAGGACGGTCAATAAGCAGACATACTTGGAGAATTGAAAGTTAACTCTAGGTCATTCATTTGGTCTAAGTATACTCCTTGATTGTAATTGAATTGAAATAACTGCGACTGTCCCGAAGAAACGGAAATGCCGAACGCTGCCGTCGTCTTAACTATGCTGATTACCCAATTAGTATATAAAAGAGAAGCGGGGATTTATCGGCTTTTCTTGTCGAGGCTAGAAGGAATTCGACTAAGAATTTGACGCTTGCATCCCTTTGCCCTAGCGGCTGACGGACAATTATCGGGCTTCACGCCACAAAAGCAAATACCACTGTGAAAATATATACCTACCAAGACAATGCTCTTACATTTTCAGACTCTCCAGCCGACGGCCATTTCGGAATCGTAGGAATCTGACATGGCTGATATCGCAGAAAAGATTATGGGAAATTCATGTATAAAAGGGCGATGTTTCGCTCGATTTCAACAGTCGAGCAACTTATACTCAGTCTCTAGAATTTTTGAGACAGTATATCCAAGATGAAGACATCCTCTATTCTGACTCTAGCAGGTCTATTATCCTCAGTTAATGCTCATGGATACCTGACCATTCCATCCAGTCGTACTCGGCTTGGATTTGAGGTATGATTTCAGACGATGAATTCATGGATGCAATACATTAGACTGACCTTATTAGGCTGGCATTGATACCTGCCCTGAATGTTCCATCCTTGAACCAGTAGCTCCTTGGCCGGACCTGGAAGGACCCCAAGTTGGCCGAAGTGGACCATGTGGTTATAATGCACGAGTTAGTGTTGATTATAACCAGCCTAGCGCTTACTGGGGCAACTCTGTGGTGGCCACATATACTGCAAATCAGATCGTCGATGTGCAATGGTGTGTCGACCACAATGGCGACCATGGTGGCATGTTTACATACGGTATCTGCCAGAATCAGACTCTAGTCGACTTGTTCCTGGACCCAAACTACCTTCCAACCAATGACGAGAAACAAGCTGCCGAAGATTGCTTCTTGGAGGGTGAATTGAAATGTACAGATGTTGCAGGCCAGACCTGTGGTTACAGTCCTGACTGCACTGCTGATGAAGCGTGCTGGCGCAATGACTGGTTCACTTGCAATGCATTCAGTGCCAACACCAACCGCGGTTGTCAGGGTGTCGATGGCGCTCCACTAAACTCCTGCAAGACAACTATCGCCGGTGGCTACACCGTTACGAAGAAAATCAAAATCCCAGACTACGACTCGGCCCACACACTGCTGCGCTTCCGGTGGAACTCGTTCCAAACGGGCCAAGTTTATCTCCACTGTGCTGATATTGCCGTTGGGGGTACGGGGGGAGGGTCGACTTCGACTGCTAGCTCTGCACCTTCCACGAGTAAGACGAGCACCATCACAACTTCGACAACAACTACTACAGCATGTGCTACTGCTGCCACCTCCGTCTCGGTAACTTTCAAGGAGCTGGTGACCACATCATATGGACAGAATGTCTTCGTCACCGGATCAATCAGCCAGTTGGGCTCCTGGTCTACGTCGTCGGCGATCGCGCTGTCTGCAGAGTCATACACAACGTCTAACCCATTGTGGACTGCCAGTATCAATCTCCCCGCTGGTACCACTTTTGAGTACAAGTTCTTCAAGAAAGGATCGGACGGTACCATTACTTGGGAAAGTAATCCTAACCGGAGCTATACTGTACCAACAGGCTGTTCTGGAACTGTAGGAACTGCAAATGCAACATGGCGGTAGAGGATTTCTGGGGGTGGAAGACGGTGGAAAGAAGTGTGCTAGCCAGTGGTGTCGTATATGTACATAGTGGTATTTCAGATTGAAATCGACAGGGCTTGATCAAGCGGTATTTTAAGGGTAGCTGATAAGAGTAGAAAACCAATTACTCGAGTAACTAGAAGTATATGGAGATTATCGGTTTTGACATTTTCTAATATGCTAGTCACGTTGATTCATTATTTTGTCCGAAATTCCCATCTGCGGCCTTAATCGAAAGGAATTGGGCGCAGATTCGATCCTCCCATACGCTTACGCATCTCAGCACCCGCTGCCACGGTGCTGGGCACCTTGATACCGCAGCAATCACCGAACCAATCTGCGCTCTCATGAGGATGGTCGTGACCATGGGCGTGGTCATGCCCGTCATGCTCAGAATCTGCCTTAGAAGGATCGGTCATGCCTTCAGCAGCAGGCAGGAGACTCCCGAACAAGAAGTGCTGCATGATAGGGAGTTTCCCTAGCACTTCCTTAACGAACATCTTCTTCATGCCACTCTCAACCTTGGTCCAATTCTTAGAACCGGAGATATCGTCCAGCATAGGGCTATGCCAACGCAGTCCCTTGACAGTCTTGACACTTTCAACCCACCGGACCTGGTCCAGATAGAGATAATTATCACCTTCCTCGTCCAAAGTAGCCGTGTTGTGAATACCCAAGGGAGTGATATATGGGTGCCCGACAAGTTGACTAGCTCCGAACAAAAACGGCAAGAAATGGTAGTCATCCAGACCCCAGACACCGTGCGATCCAGCAGGCTCAAGGTAGTAAGCTGACTGTATCTCGCGCATGAGTTGCATGTACTCGACATAGACCTTAATCACGACGGCTGGGAAGTCGCTGGAGGGGAGAAGACCGAGCTGGTACAGACATAGCAGCCACATCATGAAGTTCAGCTCGTGGCCAGAGCCGTAGTCAATCCGCTCCCGTGAGCCCAGGCAGTTGACTAGATATGTCGAGGCTTCTTCTGTTGCGCCAGCGTCTTTCAGTCCGAGAATGTTGGTGTGCCATGATGCACTCTGGGCGCTTACATCGTCACACAATGCTCGGAAGGCAGGGTTGCCAAATCGGGATCCACCTTGGTCGATTGGTGGGTTTTTGGCTAGGAGGGAGCGAATCTGAGTGACGACTGAGAGGACCTTGGAGATAGATTCGGATTGAGGTTTTTTCTGGAGGTCGGTGATAGAATGCCCCCGCACAGCATCAGTTAGCCCGAAGACGAAGGCTAGGACAAGATTGTAGGTCGGTGATGAGAGGAAGAGTTCATGGTCTTTAGCGGATAGGATGCGGCGAGTTGGTTGCCGGTACTGGTGGGCGGAGAGGTCGGGCGGCGAAGGGAGAGGAGGGGTTGCTGGAGCTAGGTCTCGGGTGTTTGGGTTTGCCCTGCGGGTATTTGACCGCAAGTCTGAGAGCTTTTTGGAGAGATCGACCTTCCCCGTAGGAGATGGTACAGATGTCTGTGATGCCATTCTGTTGGTTGGATGAGGCGAAAGGAAATTGATAAGTCGGATAAGTCGATAAGTTGATACAGAGCATAACACTGGGCTGACCGCCTGCCTTAAATAGAGGATGACGCAATGTCGTACTGTTGAGGGAGGAAGATAACGTGGTAGTTTGTCTAATCGTATATGAATATTAGAGCAGGTACATGACTACAAGTAGTGATCTACATTCGATGTGTATATCGACATATCAAGCTTACAGGTCGCAGTGACACTTTGGACCCTTCACTTGGCCCAAGTGGGTTAGAGTGGAGCATGTGATCGCTTCCCCGGATTGGTCAGGTGACAGGGAGATCAGCACATCGTTTCACGGTTTTGCTTTTGCTCGAGGTCACATTATGTGCCACATGATGGCCCCAGCACCCTGAAAAGAGGAGCAGTGGAAGTGAATGCAGATTACAAGGCTGCAGCATACCAGACACAGCTATTGTTTACCATTCCCGTGAATATCTTATCTCTAACAGCTACTTTTCATCCTCTGTTGACATCAAAGAATATAGCGTTTCGGCCCTGCATAAACCTGGTCCCTGGCGACCTCGTATTGGACAATATCCTCCTGTGAGAGATCAGCAGACGAGCACGCCATAATGAATACATTCGACTCACCGGCGTCCCCTCCGACAGGTCCCAGTGCCTCTAGAGGAGCGAAAAACAACCACTCATCGTCACGCTCGCCTACAGATTCAGCCCTGTCATCCTCCTTCGGCAGCACCCGGTCCCACTCGAGCTCCTCGTCCCGAAACCATACGCGTAGCCAGAACCCAGTTCAGACTTCATCCCAATCCACCGAGTTCACCCCAATCAACACAGCCGGCCCCGGGCGCAGCTATCAGTCCACAGAGCAAGCAGCCGCCTCGCAGCCTTCACAATTAAACAATACGAACCGTGACAATGCCAACCAATCAACGAACCAAGACTCGACTTCCGAGCCCCAGCAATCTTGGTATAGCCAATTCGCAGAACAATACGGCAGCCTCGAACTAGAGAATAAAGGCAGTGTAGCCCGCGACCACCTCGCATTAGGTACGATATGCGCGGCCTACCGTGAAAGGTCCACATAGACCCCTCTAACATGTACTCCCTTTCCAACAGAACGAACCTTCCTAGCCTGGATGCGCACCTCCCTAGCTTTCGCCTCAATTGGTATCGCAGTAACGCAACTCTTCCGTCTGAACAGCGCGTCCTCAAACACAAACGCCAAATACTTCGACCCGGTCTCCAACTCATACTCGGGCATCCTACCCCCACATCTCGCCTCGTCAGACTACGATTCAGCCGCGTTCCACGTCTCCTCTGCATCCGCCCGTCTTCGTAGCGTAGGCAAGCCCCTCGGCTCAACTTTCATCGGCGTCTCAATCCTTATCCTTGTTGTTGGCTTTCACCGTTACTTTCAGAGTCAGTATTGGATTATTCGTGGGAAGTTCCCGGCTAGTCGGGGCAGTGTAGCACTTACGGCGTTTGTGGCTGCTTCGTTGATTATTGCTACTCTCGCAGTTATCTTGGCGGTTTCGCCGGGGGCTGTTGAGACTTAGTCTGGAGATGGATTGCTGACTAGTCTTTAATTTTGATATCTGTTTCTCTCTTCATTTTACTCTTTCTGTTGTGATAGTCCTCGTTTGTTTTGTTGCGTTTTGCGTGCAGCATTTTGCATTTTCGGGTTTCTTGAGTTTATACTTGTCTCTGCCCAGGGTTGTGGGTAGCCATTTTCGCTGAAGAGAAGGAGGAGCGGGTACATATGGGTATGCCTTTATGTGTCGTATATTGATGTTGACGATAGACTGTATGTAATCATGATCATGAGTTCAACCATACCTAGGTAGTTCATACGTAGATAATATCTACCTACGAAGCTAGTATACAAGAAAAGTCGATAGAAATATTTCGTTCTTTTCTGTCACGAACGCCCCGAATCCACCCGCGCCAGACCAGTCTAGGCACAATGTAGGAAGCAGGCGCAGAGACAGGGGAAACTACAAGACGGACGGGAGTATATCGACAATCATTGGGGGGGGGGGGGGGGGGGTGGAGGCAGGAAAAAGAGGATAGGGGAAAAAAAGACCCGGGCAACATGGCTTGCAAACAATGCGAAGCAGGAAATCAGAGAAAAAAAGAGCAGACCAAGAACCGCCTAAATACAATCCGTTCATCGCGGGCCGAGCTTGTCTAGGGCGCGTGCACCCTGTTCCTGCCACTCCTGCTTGCTCACCCACATGTCCTCCTTGTCGGCAATCTGAAGGAAATGGTGTTAGCAAGAACCCGAGTAGAGTGAAAAAAAAAGAGGATACTAACCAAGTTGGCGAGCACAGCACCACCCAGGAACACCATGTGTCTCCGGCGAGGCGGATCTTCGATGCGGACCTTGAATTTCTGGAACAGTATTAGCCAAGCTATACATATACTTTTGCCAGGGGTTATTTCACGTACGTTCAGACGCTCTGGGTCGCCTCCCAGTACGCGAGTGAGCCAGAGCTGCTTCAATTCCTTCTCCAGACGAGAGGGCAAACCGGGGTACATGCTGCTACCACCACTGAGTACGATGGCCTTGTATAGACTAGAACGAACGTCGACATCGGCACCCTGGATACAGTTGAAGAGCATTTCAGCCATACCAGGCTGGTCAACGTCAACCAAGTGAGGTTGGAAGAGACACTCGGGAGCCTCGAAGCGCTCACTACCGACACGGATGACACGGCCGTCGGGCAGCGTGTACGATTCGACGAGAACGGTGGTGTCTTCAGAAAGCTTCTTGTCCAACTCGAGATCGTAGGAGACGTAAGCGAGCTTCTCCTTGATCTGGCGCACGGTCTCGAAATCAGCGGTTCGGTTCAGCGCATAGCCGCGGCGCAGAAGGAGGGCAATCAGGTTGCGAGTGACGTCGCGGCCGGCTACGTCCAGGCGGCGAATGTGGTGGTTGAGTACGGTCGACTCGTACACGGGGATAATGTGTGTCACACCGTCACCGGAATCCACAACAACGCCGCTGCTCAGACCTATAACATGACATCAGTATTGATCCCGAACCCTCACGCTCTTGTCTTGTATCACATACCCTGGGCATACAGTGCCAGCACCGCCTGGATCGCCACATAGACACCGCCAAATCCGTATCCTTCTAGCATCACCTCGGCCATCTGCTCGCGGTTCTTGAGCGGGTTCATCGGCGGCTCCGTGAGGAGAATCTTGCGATCCGTGGGGTCGATCTTCATCTTCTCGTAAAAGGTGTAGTTCCATAGGTGTTGCATGTCGTCCCATTTCTTGACAATTCCATTCTCCATCTAAAGCAGCACGGGTTAGGCATTGACAAGACACTTGCATGGTTTGCGGAGAGGGCGGGGTAGAATAACAAGGCGAGGACAAGAATCCCCGAGATAAACATACAGGGTAGCTGATCTGGAGCATTGAGCGTGCAGCGGCGGCTTCATCACCGCACATGATATCCTTGACCACGATGTCGCCGCCTTGCTCCTCCGTTCGCAAGATGGGCCGCCCCACTATCGAGGGAAACTGGTGCTCTGGGAAGTTCTGGCAAGAGAATATAAATTAGGCAGGAGCAGAGAGAGGACTGTAGCGGTCGTGCGACATACCTGGGCGGCATAGCCAACCTTGAGGAAGCCGGTTCCTCCATCGAGGACTGCGGAGTAGCTTGTTAGCTTGGAGCTGGGACACGGTAGCCTGGGGGGATCGGTGTGTACCAATGGGCATTTCCGCCATCTTGGAGGAATTGGGGATTCGACGGTTAGGAGTTGAGTATACCGTCGAGACTGATATTCTATTTGGAAACTCCCAAGATGAGCGGAAATAGGAGGGTTCAGGGGAGAGCGGAGGTGTTGGGGATGTCTGAAGTCGAGCCCACGACGGACAGAGCATCATAACTTACGTGACCGTACCGTACCTGATATTCACCCCACAGCTAGGGGCGAGCCGCAGCCATGACGGTATGTGACCGCATCACCACGTTCTTGGACCAGACAAGCTCAGATATGATGGATTAGAATGTAAATAATGCTTTTCAGGTCTTTATAAGTAGTGGAATGATGCTGAAATCATTATATGCGCAGGATATAGTACATATGGAACGCCTCACATCAAGGGGTGTACACGTGGGTTTGACTACGAGGGCACATCAAGCATATAATATAAGTAAAGAGAGGACTGATCTACCCACAGTAATAAAGTCCAAGCATAGTTTAACCTCCATACAAGCACAAGCCGTTCATAGCGTTGAAGAGCTACCTGTCGGCCGACTCCGATATCCTCGGGAAACACGCGCTCCACTGGTTCCTATCCTCCCTGGACTGGTGCAAAGATCGCATTGCCCTGCTCAAGTTGATTCCACATTGCCAGATTTTGCTTGAATCCTTCGAACCGGTGCTTCAGCTTGTTATCTATAGATAAAATCGTGACCGACTTGAATCCGCATCCGAGGACAACAGGAGCAACGATGCCACAAATCGGCTGGGTAAGTAACCCCTAGAGCATCCATGGACTTGAACGAAAGAACTAATCATGCACGCAGTACGGACTCGGGTCCATGGGCCTAGCAATGGCCTCCAACCTGCAGCGCCACCTAGCCGCGAAGAAGGCTAGCAGCCTGATCTACTCGAACCGCACGATGTTGCGCGGATCACCCCTGCAAGTGCTGGGAGCAATCCCAGAACCCAATTTCGAGAAGGTGGTGTCTCAATGTGGAATCATTTTCACCATGGTAAGCCGATTCTACCGAGAGGATACATACCAATGCAACTAAATCCCCTCCCAGGTCTCCAATGACTCAGTGCTCCAAAGTCTGCTATCCACCGCGATGGGTTCAAGCCAATCCCTGAAGGATAAGATCTTCGTTGACTGCTCAACGGTGCATCCCGAGACCGTAAGTTCAGCTGTATCGGAGCTGAAAAGCAAGGGTGCATCGTACGTAGCAGCGCCGGTCTTCGGCGGGAACCCAATTGCCGTGGATGGCAAGCTTGTTTTTGCTATTGGTGGTCCTAAGAGTGCGACGGAGGTCGTCAAGCCTCTAATCCAAGATGTGATGGGACGGCGCGTGATTGATTGCGGCGAGGATGCTGCAAAGTCCTCGCTTCTGAAAATCGCGGGTAACATTGTTACTGTTAATATGATGGAGGCTGTTGGGGAGGCTCAGGTCTTTGCTGAGAAGACCGGGCTTGGAACTGGTCCTATGGAGGAGCTCATTGGTGAGGCTTTTGGTCCTGTTGCTGGAGGGTATTCTAAGAGGTGTGTTACAATATTGTTTCGGTGCTGGTATTGCGGCTATTCATACTTATCATTGTTTCTAGATTGACTACCGGCGCTTATGCGCCGCCCCTGGGCTCCCGTCCTGGCTTTGGGGTTTCTCTTGCTATTAAGGATGCTAGGCATGCTATGTCGATGGCCCAGGAGCGGGGTGTTGAGCTTCCTGGGCTTGAGCTTGCCCGGGCTAACATGGAGGCCGCGAGAGAATATGGCGGAGAATGCCTGGACAGCAGTGCGATGTACGGGACGCTGCGCCAGAAGGCTGGTCTGGAGTTTTGGAATGAGAAGAGCAGGAAAGAGTAAAGTCAAAATCATAGGTCTCATAAGATATAGAGTAGCTATTGATTTGAAAAATTGTATTCGTTTAAATTTCCAGACCGGAATGATCTCTGCAGACATCAATTACTGGAAACGCATATATAATCAGGTGAGGTGACCTGTGGCCCTTCTCACATGCTTGAGCCTTTCTGCCCTTGTGTTAGGACTCGGCTTAAGAAAAACCATCCCCCTCCCAAAAAAAATTAAAGAATTTGGCTTGCTGGAATCCAGGATTCCCTTTCGTCAAAGATTAGTCGCGGAATTGAAAAATATTAACCAAGATCAACTTGGTAGAGGTGGAATAGTGGTTGGAAGGAAACTCGCTCAAGTGGTTGTGTGGTCTCCTGGTGAGTCTGGCCCGTACGGGGTGTTGGGCTGTGTTGTCTGTGTTGTCGGCTTGATTCGTGCGGTGTCTGCCAGAGAGGGATAAGTCTCCGCAAAGCACGTCCCCAATGACCAATTGGACAGGTTCCTCATATGCCGTTCGAAGACCGGGTTGATAACCAGCTCGTCCGAGTCGCCAGCTGACAACAGACAGTCCGTGTCCTCATACGGCCAATTGACCCTCATCCCGCTTGTAAATGGGATGAACCAATTCTCGAACGGGTAGTTCTGATAATTTGTAATGACCCTGTCACGCATTCCCGGCCAGGGAATATAGTCCATCCAAGCAGGGTGTGGATGGAGAATTTGTGTTGGGCGCGGGGTTAGCCACTCTGGGAGTCGCTCATAGTTCTCTTGCGTAGGGTAAATCTGCCAGCGCATGAGGAGGAACATGGTGTAGAGCACTGCAACCTGCACCGGCAGAGATGAGATATCTGGAAAGGTGCGCAGGATATCTGTGAAAACCTTTGAGACTGGATGGGAATAGACACTCCTCTCCGGGTTCAGCAACGAGGAGACACTCGGGTACGGTGGCCCGGCTAAATTTTGTCTGGGGATGCCTTGAGCCGCCTCGCGTTGCCGGCTATGAAGAAATTCCAAAAGAATGTTATCTAACGGACATGTCGCTGGTACGTTTTGTATCGGAGCAGCAAATGCAGGTGGCCCAGGTTCAGAGGTAGTAGTCAAGGGATGTGGGTATATTGGTGTCGGAGGATTCAGCTGAGGATACCGGAGGTTTTCTGAGCTGCTGCCGTGAAGCCGGTCGACTTTAGGAACACTATGCGAACCATTGATAAGGAAGTTAAACCCTAGACGCTCTTCGGAGCTGAGGTTCAAGCCGTGTGTGATATTATGGCGCTGCGAGTCCCACGCGACACGGAGAGAGACCGACGGAGGACCTCCATTGGTACTGTTGCGGCGACTCCCGAGGGTGGGTGCAGAATGAGTCGGAGAAGGCGTATCAAGACTGGCAAGGGACTCGGCATATGATTTCTCGCCTGGAATTGGGGTGAGGTGATCGGCGTCTGGCACTGGGGATGCATGCGAAGGGGGCGGAATAGGCTTGGGTATAGCTAGAGAAGGAGATGCACCTATCTTTATCAGTTTGAGACTTGAATTTTATCCAGGCGCGCAACTGACCTGATAGTTCTGGCCTAGCGATCAATGGTTGGATAATGTCCATCGCTGCCTTAAGCCCTTGGCGGAGCTCCGCGTTCTCCGATCGGATCCTCCCATTCTCGCCTAGAGCTGCTTGAAGATCAAGGTAGGGTTTCTGTGATGACAGGTCCCGGACCTGTTGCTCCAAAGCTTCTATGTGGCCCTTGGTTCTTTCTCGAATTGCGCGCTGCGCTTGGCGGTCGTTGGCCCGCTTTTTGGCCAACTGATCGGGAGTGAGATTGGCGACACCTCTTGATGACATGCTATTCAGCTTGCGCTTGCGTCCTGATGTTGTGCCATTGCCCAAGAGTCCATCCACGTCTATCGAAGCCGCTCGGGGAGGAGTTGGCGAGTCTTCGGGTCTGTTGAGGGGAGTAGGTTGCGAACGTTCAGGCAGGTCGGGCAGGTCGGGCGAAGCCGCCACATACTCATTGGCGTTTGTACCGCGGGTGGCCATTGCCTTGCACACGCGCTAAGATTGGCCATTCAAGTTAAGGAAATGAAGAATGGAAGTTAGAGAACGCTAGGAGTAAGACGTGAGTATGCTATGTGGGTCAAGAGTGTCTGCAGTCCATAACATTTAAACTTTCATGCGGGAAAATGGGTATTATCACATTCAATGGGCTCTTGACGATGAACAGACAATGTATCTTTGTTCCAAATACTATATCTCTACGGACCAAAACTCCAATTCTTCAGGAGAGGCTGGTGATGAACATGACGCATTGAGGCAGCAAAGCCACACAAAAATAAGAAGAATATACAGTATCAACGCCATATACAACTTTGGAACAAGCCCAAAGGATCAAGATTATGCACAAAGAGAAAAAGATTCGGTCGTGTCGATCATATACACAGGCTTTTGTAGGTTCCAATTCAAGAAAGTATAAGCCAGATGAAAAGGGGAATGATGATGGGGGAGAAAGCTCAAAACGACAGGCTCAAAGGATTATTGGATCATATGGCCCATTTTCGAGATCTATCAAAGCCGGCATATTAGTATCAACCCCAAACTGGGAAACGGTTCACAAACATACCTTAGTCTGAAGATATCCTTCAATTTCAGAGCTCTTAATTCCTTTCTGGCCGCCAGTCCGCCAAGCCAATGGGATCATCGGCACCCGCTCTTTAACGAGAACTTCCCGATTGGGGCCCTCGATGGCGCGGACTTTATCGGGATTATTGGTGAGTAGACGAATTCCTTCTGGGATGGCATCCACGCCACAACCGAGGTCTTCCAGTATAGCCGTGGCCAGTCCATAGCTTCGAGCGTCAGCCGGATGGCGGAGCAAAAGGTTTGCCTCAACGGTATCCGACCCGAGATCCTGGAGATTGTATGCCTTCAACTTTTCGCCAAGCCCGATTCCACGACCCTCCTGACGCAGGTAAACAATCACACCGCCTGTCGAATGTGAGGAGAGGGACTGGACCTCGGGAGGCGCATCAGAGGCAAGATCCTCAACAGGGAAAGACATCAAGCGCGCCGCCTCATCCAGCTGCTCGCCGCAATCGCACCGCGCCGACCACGCCGTCTCGCCCGTATAACACTCTGAGTGAATTCGCACTAGTGGCGGCTCAACCTGCTTTGGCGTGGAGGCTGACCCGACCAGATCGTCATCATACCGGCTGCTGACTCGGCCCGGGTGTAATTTCCCAACGTACGCGCCGCGGATCATTCGGTCCATCTCGGTCTCCCCTGGTCGAACACTGTCCAAGCTCCGGCTGCGAATATTGTTTCCAAATACAATTGCCAAATGCTCCTTTCCATCCAGATCATTGTGGTAGAGGTGCAGGAACATTTCCGCTCCATTGGTTGTGGGGATCCGTGCCCGCACAATACATTCCACTGCTGGGAGCCGCGGGAGTAACTTCGGGCCTTTAGCGCCCTGGCTCTTATGGTCGATATCTGCTGCCTGGGTTTGGTGAAGGACTGCTGTGGGACTTAGATCCAAGTTCAATGTGCCGCCGGGGGTTGCAGGTGGGGTGAATGCGGGCGATAGCAATGAGTCCGGTAGAGCCGGGGTCTGTTCGCCTGCTGCGATGCCCCCCTGACTCGAATCATCCGATTGTCCATCTGATCTGCTCGGGAGCGTACGCGGGGGAAGTTTTGGTGAGGCGTGGGCCGGTAGGTCGGTCATTGCGACGGCGGAGAGGCGGGGTACTCGGAATTTGTGACGCGTGAGGCTTACTGCAGAAGCTCTGGGTATGCAGGGATAGGTGTTGAATAGCACATCAATCTGACAAAAATACAAAATGAAGTCTGTTCAATGGAAAGTTTTAATTGCGAAGTAGGACTATGCCCCCGGCTATCCTCCCTCGGCACGAGGAGAAGAAGGCTGAGTCATCTATATGTCACGGCTTACTCTAGCACATTCTTCTGGGCCTCCACCTACCTATCGGTAAGGCAGGATATCTGTTTAGCCAAGTTCTTTAAGTTCTTTAAGCCTTGATCTATAATTACACTATTCTATGAAATGCATGGCTATTCCTTGGCCTAGAGTCAATCCACTGAATATTATTCTCACTTCACCTATATGCATCAATCTAACAATTCGAAGCCGACATCGGGGAGGAATAGATACCCAATCGCGGCATTTTATCACGCCACCAGTGGCATGGATATCAGCGACTCAGACACATCCATCTTCAATCCTCTTAATGTTCTGGCCATTTTCAAAGGCGTGGAATCCATCTCTCAGATCATACTTATCCGTATACTATATATTCGTCGAGAACGAAAGGTAGTATGTGCCATCAAACTTCGTCAGAATGGGCGCCTTACTGAGGGGGCTATCGGCATCATCCTGGCCCAGAAGCTCTAGATTCCATCGCCGCCGGGGGCGATAACAGCGTTTACAGCATGATGGGAGTGAGGTGATTTGCATTGTCATCGTTTGCCTTGTATACAGCGTAGTTGATTCCTGCGGCTTCGAAGCCACTCCCATAGATAGTCCCGCCCTCGTCAAGAGGCCAGGCTAGCATATTGTCTTCTGGGATATAAGCTTTCGCGAAGTGTTATAGAAAACTTATATTATAGACATCTAGAACTGCTCTATTCAACCCCAGCTTTTTACATGTAGATCCCCCCGGCCACTAAGCCAAGAACAGAAATTATCAGTTTCGAAAAAAAAAGGATTTTGTTCTTTCTAACTAAAGTATCTAGTCAAGATGAAAGCACTCCATATCCATGGTAGGCCTTCGAACTCCAGATAGCGCCGCGCTTAAATGGTATCATCATCACATCAGATCATAGAAACAGCTTGAGATTACTTGCCCAGAATATCCAGCACAAAGCGCCGGTCGACCTCCATCTCTTTATCGTCCTCTTCACCCTCAAACTTGAGGCGATAGACGTCCTTCCTTGCACCCATCACCTCGGCGCGATAGAAGGTGGTGGTGTCCGGGTATCGCGCAAGGACCTGCTTGCCAGCCGGGTACGCAGCTAAATGGGTGCTCAGCTGAGGAATGGGAATGAGAGAGGCAGCAGTAGTCTTATAAACCGCCCCCTGCTCACCATTCTCATTCGGCTCAGGGTCTTGCACATCATATCTGGGATCAGACATGACGCGCGTCAGTCAATGTAAATTGAGACGAAACGCAAACGACCTAACATCACTTACCGCTTCTTCGGTCCGTCACCAGTAACAGCCTTGATTATGCATTGGATCCCCTCGCCCTCGACACCTTGTTTATTCTTGTTGTGTTTGAAGACAACCTGAGCCCCAACCACTAGCAAACCACTCCGCTCTGCGACAGTGCCCTTGGTCCCCTCCGACGGCCCCTCCTCGATCTTGACCATGAGGTTATCCTGGCGGCCCCCTTCGCGGGCTTGCGTGCTCGACGAGACGCTTGCGCTGCGTGGGACGGTCCCCTTTGAGCGTGCGGTCTTGTCAGCCCCCGAGGCACTGGGGGAGTCGGTCACCGAACCTTCGACTTCATTTCTTTTCTTGCGAGACTTGTTGAACGATGCGGACCGATTTGGAGGCGCTTCGGCTTCGGATGCCTTGCGCAATGCAGTAAGCAGTTCTAGATTTTTGATTACATCGCATGGCTCGTCCTGCATGATCGAGCGCTCGTCTTCGCTGAGCTTCTGGCTCAGGCGGAGCCAGCTGTCGAGTTGGTCGTGTTCGGCCATGGTGGGTTCTGATTGGCAGTGCGATGTTAGTATATGTGATTGATAATAAGCTTGAATTTGTTCGAATTAATTTCAAGCGACGCGCATATTGGAGCTTTGCACTGTCGGCTATAGAGCCGATGGATCTAGTGCGGGGGTACTCACGGTTGCCATCATGCGCAATCTTGTCTACCAACGTTTTAATCTGCACAGACAATGAATTTTGTTGATCGAACTTCTCCTTAGATTTTCGAATATCCTGGCAGATCTTGGTCCAGAGCTCCAATTCCTCATTATTGCCAAAGCCGTTGTCTCTGGGTCGGGGGCGGTTGCGAGACATCCTCCGTTCACCAACAAGGTAGGGTAAGGAATGTGTAAATAGTATGAACAGCTTACTGCTGACCAGAACCCCAGGTTATTGAAAACTCCAGATTTGAAGCAACAAGTTGTTAATTCAAAAGGTTGGAGATGCGGTGATAAGGGCTTCGTCCTCCGGGCGGTAGGGGTTGATACGCTAAACTACTTTGGGAAATGACATTGTAGATATAATTGACGTTGACAGTTGTATACTGTTAGGCTTTGTCTTCTCGATGGGTATATTGGTGATCAACATCAAGAGACTTTAATCCTACCGAATTTATTTCAACTTTACTGTCCCAATGCGGCTGTATATTTCGGGTATAACTGGAAGGACGGTTGCGGAAGTACCTGGTGCGGCAATCCGTGCCAGATTGGGATACTCCGTGAATCCCAGAAACAAAACCCATCTCAGTGAAATACCAAACCAATCTTCCCTATAAAGCTCTGAACGTGTGTCATAGGTCGAAATCATCGGCCCTGTCCAACATTTCTCACCGAAGGCTTGGCGGGGCATTTCTAATCCCAAGTTCCTGGTTGCCCCTCCGCTTTTTCCCCAAACATCCATTTCATTATGCAGGTCCCACTACTTCGGCTGCAATGCGGTAAGTTTTGAGATACTTAGAAGAAGGAACATCTGCTGATATTTCCCCCTTTAGGCGTCAACAGCTACGACTGGGGTAAGCTAGTACCACTTGCGATACTGTGTTCCCCGCACTGATTAACCCGTCATAGGCAAGGTCGGCCAAGAGTCGGCAGCGGCAAAGTATGCAGCCACAACAGCCGGCCCGGATTTTGCGATTGAGGCCGAAAAGCCCTATGCGGAAGTAAGTGATGGCTAAAGTGCAATTTTGGAGGCAATGAGCTCACAATCCGTAGCTCTGGATGGGCACACACCCGTCTCTTCCCTCTAAAGATGTGGAGACCCAGCGTACCCTCCTCGACATGGTTCAGGATAACCAGGCCCTGCTGTCGACGGATATCAGCGAACGATTTGGAGGCAGACTCCCGTTCCTGTTCAAGGTGCTTTCCATCCGTAAAGCGCTCAGCATCCAGGCCCATCCCAACAAGAAGCTTGCGGAGCAGCTCCATGCCCGGGACCCAAAGAACTATCCCGGTGAGTGGTAATTGGGATCACACCCAATAAACGAGCACCCAGAAACACGGCTAACTAATTTCAAGATGACAATCACAAGCCCGAAATGACCATCGCCATCACTCCGTTCGAGGGTGTGTGTGGCTTCCGTCCGCTCGCAGAGATCACGCATTTCCTCCAGGCTGTGGAGCCTCTGCGCACCCTTGTTGGTGACCAGGCAGCGAGTGAGTTCGAGCAACTTGTTAAGGGTAACGAGGACTCAGAGGAACCTGCCGTCATCCAAAAGAACAAGGAAGCGCTACGATCCCTTTTCACCACCCTGATGGAGTCTTCATCCGAGAAGGTAGAGACAGCCTGCAAGGCCCTTATCTCGGCCGCGGATAACAGCCCCGATAGCTTTGCAACCCTAGCAGGTGAAGTGGAGACGAACCCTACCAACCCCGCCGAGCTGGCTGCGCTTGCCAAGCGTCTGGACGGACAGTTCCCGAACGACATCGGCCTGTTCATCTTCTTCTTCCTCAACTTTGTCAAGCTGCAGCCTGGCGAGGGTATGTTCCTGAAGGCAGATGACATCCACGCTTATATCTCCGGTGATATAATCGAATGCATGGCGTCGTCTGACAATGTTGTGCGAGCCGGTTTCACCCCGAAATTCAAGGACGTCGACACCCTCACCCAGATGCTGACCTACTCGTACGCACCAATTGAGGAGCAGAAGATCCAGGCCACAGACTACCCTTATGTCGTCCTGAATGCCACTGCTTACTCTAGCGCCTCGTCCGCCATGCTCTACGACCCTCCTATCGACGAGTTCAGCGTCATCAAGACCGACTTGAACCGGACTGGCGCCAAGGCCACTTTCGACCCGATCGAAGGCCCCAGTATCTTCATTTGCACACGCGGCAAGGGCAAGATTACTGTCGGCAATAAGACTGAGGAGGTCCAGGAGGGCTACGTTTTCTTCGTCGGTGCTACCGCTGAATGTGTGATTGAGAACACCGGCAGCGGCGAGGGCGACGATGATGTCTTTACGACCTACAAGGCATTCTGTGAATTGGCCCCGACCGGTGAGGAAAAATAGGTCAATGGTAACTAAGTTGTCATATTCTAATCTGTGGTGTCAAGATGAAACACGCCGTTCTGGGATTGGCGCAAACCTGTGAGATGCACATGGGACATAGCATGGTATTCTGGCATGGTATTCTGGTGTGAAATAACAAAATAACAAAATTACGAAAACAATGTAATGCCAAAGACAAAAGACAAACTTGGAAGTGTTCAAGCTGTAGTTACAACCACCCAAGGTCTCGGACGTATTGTGCCAATAGGCCTCCAAAGAGACCGACCTTTGCACCAATGCAGTTATCGGGTTAATTGTCTGTGAGGTTCTCAAGTCTGAATTCCCTTCGTCCAATTTGTTAATTTTCTTTCGACCAGTATATATATCTTATGGCTCGTAGGAGACAAGGAATTCAGACCAAAGAGAACGTAAGGCTGGCAGGTGCCTTTTTTTTGGATATATGTTTGCTATGGCTTTGTCAAAATAATCCCTTGCAGTTCTCCAATCATTCTCGTCCTTGAGACATTACACTCTTACAAGTCAGAAGTAACGGCCCTTCAATCTTCCCAAGCCACAGCCTCGGTGTTCAAAGCCATTCCAACGATTTTATTGTTCGATGTTAGCATCTGCGTGTTCAGGTCACGGACAGTCTTCAGACCACCTGGTGAATAATCACGCGCACTTCATTCAAGGGTTGCGCACAAGGACGTATGGCGAGTCGGCCGGGGTGGAAATTTGATTCCGCTTCTTCGATTGCTTGCCCGAGTATACATCCGGCCGGTTTATACTCTTTCTCCTTCCATGGATAACATCCCCGAATTTGGAACACACGGAACAACTCTCTGCTTGAAGAAAGATCGTTCCATTCTGCCCCTTTACCAGACTTCTGTTTATTATACCTCTCTGGGATTGAACATCGAAAGGCCGTGGACAAGCTCAAAAACAACAAAACGAGTAGAGTTCCCACACACTCTGTCCTTGTTTGAATTCTTATACAATATTTCTGTTGTTTCGTTCTTACATCCTAGCATAGATTGCATCCCCAAATCCATCATACAGAATCTCACAAACAAATCCTATTACAATGCGATAAGCTCCCTAAAGCGGTACCTTGAGGACATCACGATGTGGATTCGGAGCACAGCCAATCAGTAGCCGGCGGCTCCAGTTCCTGCAGGCCCCACAAGGGAATCTAAAGAGCGGGGAGACCGGGTATAAAAAGACTCACCTCCCCTTTCCACTTCTCCAAGAGCTTCAATCACTCAAATAATCATGTCGTCCAATAACGGTGTTCCCCGGCTCGGCTTCTGGGAAAAGGCAGATATCCCCTTCCTGCATCTATCCATGTACGCCAGCATGGTGTATGCTGCCATTACTGGTGTTTTTCGGGGTAAAGCCAGCCCCAAGCGCTACGATCACCACATCCTGGCCGCCGTGATTCGGAAACTCGTTGATCGAAGGTCGGATCGGCAGACACAGTAGGTTGTTCTCTACCTCCATATAAATCCCAAGGAAGCAAGAATGAGAATGGACAACCCATTTACCTGGTATTGTCGCACAGGTACCTCGTTCCCCCAACTTCAGCGACCTACGAAACCATCATGAAGAAGCGCGGTCTTGAACCCGAGACCGTTACGCTCCCACACAATACAGTGGGCCACTGGATGGGAAATAAGAACGCCAAGAACGTGATCGTATATTACCATGGTACGTCCCCAACCTCGATTGTGTAACACACGGAGAAATTCCCACCCAAGAGCAAAAAAAACCCCCCTAATCATAACATTGCATATATCCACAAATGCAAGCGAAAATTCTAACCATTACGAACAGGCGGCGGCTTCGCCATGCCGGCCATCTCGGCCTACTTCGACTTCTGGCTCGACATGCTAAAAGCCTTAAACGAAACTGGCCACGACCTAGCCGTCTTCTTCCCACGGTACACGCTAACCCCACACGCAACGTACCCAACCCAACTCCGCCAAGCCATCGAAGCCCTGCGCTACATCATCAATGAGACGGGCCGCTCACCAGCTAACGTGATTATCGGCGGCGACTCCGCAGGCGGGAACCTCACCGCTGCGACGCTGCTGCACCTAACTCACCCGCACGCTGAGATCGAGCCGCTGGCGCTGTCGGCGCCATTAGCGGGCGTCTTTACATACGCACCCTGGATCAACTTTAGTACAGAGTGGCCGTCGATGAAGGATAATCTGTGGAAGGATATTCTCACGCCGGCAGTTTTGACCAGGTGGTCTAATTCTTACCGCGGGGGTAGCCCAGCAGATAATTGGAATGAGCCGTTTAATGCCCCGGCTGAGTGGTGGAGGGATGCTAAGACGGAGAGGATTTTGGTTCTTGCTGGTGGGGATGAGATTTTGCTTTCGCCGATTCAGGAGTTTGTGAAGAAAATTAAGTCGGTTTTCGGGGAGATTACTTTTGTTGTTGGGGCTGATGAGGTGCATGATGCGCCGTTTTATACTATGGTTAAGGAGGAGACTGAGACTCGTTCGGAGTTGCGACGGTGGTTGGCTGCTCGGCTGTGATTTATTTTGCTGCCACATGGTTTAGGCGCAGAAGCATAGGTTGGATAGGAACTGGTTCTTATTGTTCCTATTGTCCCATACCGAATTACAGACAAGGAATCCAAATATGGTACAAATATGGTACCAATTGCAAGATTGAGATAGGTCGTGTCTTTTCATAAACAAGCAGGATAGGCTGCCCTGGCTCGGATTAAACAAAACAACAAATATATGGAACAGCATTTAGGTTATTCTACGACGAGACCTTGGCGGAGAACTTAGCAGCCGCAGTATCGAAGAACTCGCTCTTTTCCTGGATGTCAGTGAGAAGGGGATGGGCGGGCTGGATCTGCTGTAACCGGCTAGACGAGAGATACAAGTTAGCATCGAGTCCACTATCTCGTTTAAACGGAGCCACGACGGGATGACATACGACTCCATGTCCTCAGTCTGTTTGCCAGCCAACACATTCAAAACAATGCTATTGGCAATCAACTCCACGTTGGTAGGGAATTTCTCAAGAGCGGCGGTGAGGGCGGCCTCAGCCTCGGGGAGACGACCCAGGTGGATCTCGGAGATGGCCTGCCCGACGATAGATAGCGGTGCGGAGGTACCGGGTGCGGAGGCGAGCTCCTCGAAGACGTAGAAAGCAGACTGGTAGCTCTCGCCGCCCTGTACAGCAGAAACACAGAAGTCAGCACTCACACAACATTGATTTATAGATTGTAGGTTTCTCATCGACATACAACTCTCAAGCCAACCCACGACTCGGCGACGTTGACCAACAGCGAATCCTGACCCCAGCGCTTGGCAGCCTGAACTTCCTTGAGGGCGAGATCGGTCCGGTTTTGTTGGAGGTGGATCTGGACGATAAGGGAGACGCTAAAACACAGACAGATTGTCAGATCGATATGCCCCGCTATATCGCAGTCTTCGTGCGACGGAGGTAACTCACGCCTCGAGGTTACCCTGGTGTTTGGACAGCAGCGCCAGCGCCTCTTCGCTGTAGTCCTGGGCCTGGAGTACGGTACCAGCAAGGACCTGTACGGTGTTGTTTTCGGGGTAGTTCTCTGCGAGTTCTTGTGCGAGCTGCAGGGCAGCGTCTGTGTTGCCGGAGGACTGCAGGGCCAGGGCCCTGACGGCCGACAGGTCGGGGCTGTCCTCTTCGATGGAGGGCTCGGCGAGGCTTTCGTCGAATTGGCCGAGGGCAATCTGGGCGCGGAGTCTGAGAACCTGAGCGGGGAGTTGGTTCTCAGGGGAGAGCGCGGCGGTCTCGAAATCAGTCACATTCTGGTATTGGCCTGAGTGGAAGGCGCTGTGGATGTTGAGGAGCTCTGCGGGGAAGCTGGATTAGCACGGATCAGAGCTGGAGAAGGATATGGGGGACTTACCGCCCTCTGCAGAAAAGGGATCCATGTTGACTGTTGTGGAAGAATTGGTCCGAGGGGAATGGGTGTTGTTGATGATGCCCTGTGGCCGCAGTTGTTCACGGTGGCTTTATAGCGGAGAGGCAACTCTGCCGAGATAACACGGGGCAGGTGGGCCGACCGCCTTGGATCTATACATTTCGATCTACACTTGACACACTGCATCTAAAAATTTATGGTCATTTCCACATTTTCGTAATTGAGATTGGGAAACATGGGATGGATCTATTTTCCGGCAGAAACCAAAGCCTACAGGGTATCAACATGGGACAAACATCAACATTCCCATACAACAAAACAAACAAATTCGTGAGATATACGTTAGTTGGGGCCGCATCAAAACAAATGGGGTTAAAATCCTTTGGAATAATTCCCCAGCTTGAAAGAGTACCTGATTCACTTCATATGTTCCCTGGTGGCACAATTTGGTTGGGTGCTAGCAACAACAGACAAGAATAAGCATGGGGTACATGATCGAAGACAGACCATGTACCAACTCTCTTCTCTCGGAATCACCGAGAAAACTTCATCTTCTTCAAGGACCGATATGCTTTGCGGGCCTTGCTCGATATAAGTCGTGCAGCCACAAGAGGCAACCACTGGGGTTCGTGGTTGGTAGGCGGCAAGGGCGACGGTGATGGGGAAGTAGAGGTGGTTGCAAAGGATTCTCCGGACTGTGGTGGTAGGGCTCCACAGGATGGGAGGAAACAGTTTTCGTACTCTGAGTCGGTTGCGGTCGTGGCCAGCGAGACTGAGTCTTCTTCGTTGCGGAACTCGGTGAATGTCCGTCGTGGGTCGTGTTGGCTGATTTGATCGTACAGCCGACGAAGAGATGATTTGCCCAACAGCCTCGCGGCTGGAAGTTTATGCTCCAGCTTCAGAGAGTTTGTAGATCGAGAGAGGAACATTGCGATGACTGGGGAGATGGGTGTTGTTCGGACTGAGATGGCTGGTCCGGGTGGCGGGTATTGTGGTGGGTGGTGACCACCTGATGGACTTCGAGTGTCCTGTGAATTATGTTGATATAAATGTATAATGGAAAACAGCTGGATATAGATGCATACCTTCGGTCGATGCTTCGGTTGTCCCCAGAAACGGCATCAAGCCAGTTGGGGACCTCGGCCTGTTCGTAGTAGCCTTGCATGGATGTCATCATGCTATGTTGTATATAGCCTTTGGTGATTTATATGAAAAGGGTTCTAAGGGATTGGAGCTGGGGTTGGTGGTGGTGTATCAATCTCCGGTGTCGATCGAGTATTCGATGTACTCTATAGTGAAGACCAGTTGAGGTATACTTGAAGTAGATTGGATGTATACCTGATGGCGGGATTATGTAATAGTGAAAGGAGATAGATGAAGAAGTAATAATTCAGAAGAAGAGAAAAGAATTCAAGGGCTGTATATATAGATCGTTATTCGAAAAGTACTAAGCCTTCTTGAGAGCCGGCGTCGACTTCCGTAAAATAAAATCACAATTGGAGGGTAATTTACCCAATATAAGTAAATTAGGGCTAAGTCCATGGTTACCAGGACCGAAAGGTGTTTCGGCGATGATGGAAAGGGCGTCATGGCCATCGTAACAGGGCAAGTACATATTAAAACTAGGCACCGACCCGACTGTGGAAAACCTTATAACCAAGTGCACAAATTCAATCATAAAAAAGATCGCGCTTTCCCAACATGCCGTATACATCATGGTGATTATGGAAGACTGTGGACGTAGAAGACCACATCTCAGCGCCAGGAGTGGAGGGTGGAAGCTCAGCAGAAATGAAGGTAGAGATGGTAGAGATCTGGGTCTAGATAACTGCATATACGTAGTAAGTGGGCGGTATCATATAGTCCTGCAACCTCACCACTACCTATGTAGTTACGATCTTTAGGTTATTCATCTAGGGGTTGTTCTGTACTACTTCCACAGGCCATTGTCGCTATATAGAGCTCGAAATTGAAAACATAATTATGAAATGGCCAATCAAGTAGTGCATTTCATAATTATGTCTAAGAAAAAGCTTCTTTGCTCTCGCTGACTTATGCCTAACACAGACGAAACCACCTACCAGGGCGGAAACATTCAGATCCCCCTTAGTAATCTAGCCTCGTAATGTAACTACTAGCATATGCACCCATGCGTGCAGTATTCTTTTCTAGCTGTTAGAACTTTCTATTTAGACTGCCGCGGCTTTTGACTGGGTGCTTAGGCTCACCTGTTGTCATGAATTGGAAGGGCCTTTATGGGGCCCATTTTTACATCATGAGCGAGAAGGAGGGTAACTCAGCTTTTGGAAACGTGAGGTACAATATTTTGATAATTCTCTAGCCTTAGGATTGAAAGACAATTGGGTGAAGCCTTTATATGAGCTTCTCTGGGGTTACATATGTCAATATTTAGATTAGAGTAGTAGGTTGTTCTATTTGTCCTGTCTATGTTAAAAATACATTTGCTTTGCCTCATCTCAAAGCCATAGGTCACCGAAGTCATGGAAGCGTCAAGCAATTCAGATGCGCGATCCTCAATTAGCCCTGCCATCTGAATTTACCCTCCCGCAGGGTCTTCACGACACCCAGGGGCATAAACTCGCGATTCACAGCAGCCAGGCTACCGTAATTACGAACCATCCCTTCATGATACAACTCCGCCACCCATCTCCAGTAGGGCGTCATTGTTCCCCAGTAAGCATTGATAGAACCCTTAGAGGACCTGTGATCAAGGGAATTTTGCTCCCTTTCAAAGCTCGAACTCAGAGCCAGGCTCGTCTCACTCGGCACCTCGGTGAGTTGCGTGTACACATCCACAAGAGAAGGACTGAATGTTTCCGCATACAGGTTGTACTCTTCTAGGGACATGAATAACTTAGATTCACGGGCCCATTTGCTCCTAAATTGGCTGCTAACATCAGAGCCATGCTTTTTGAACTTTTCCTTGGCTGCCTCGTATTCCTTCTCATCACTCAGAGAGGCCTTGTGCAGTAGCTTGCGGGGGGTCTGTTTGATGTTTTCACGCATGGCGAGTAGTGTAATGAAGGGATTGAGAAGACCCAAGCCGCCAAGTTCAATGGGATAATAGAAGAATCCATCTGGAAGATCGTGGATATCGAATCGCTCTGCGATCACAGTGCGCAGATGGTCGGTGACACCACTGATTTGATCGGATGAATTTTCATCATCTGAAGTTTCGTTGAAGAGTGTACGCTCGATGCGACTCAGGGTGGCAATTGCCATGTCAATATGGTCTCTACCGAAGCAAGTGGCCGGCTTTGCAAAGTTGTTGGTAAAGAAGCGGCCGAAATAGCTGTTCCATGCCTGTACCCAAGCGAACACACTTTTGCAGGATGAAAGTTGTCGTTGAAGCTCTTCGATATGCTGGTCAACCTGGGCTTGGTCGATTATGAACCTTTCTTTGTTCGCATCTAGAACCAGGAAACCCCACCGGATTTCACCGGTGGGAAGGGCAGACTCCTTTGGGGTGTTATTCAAGCCCATATGCACAGTTCCAGTCTTCTCCGCGTTGAACTTCAGACCCATTACCTGACTGAACTGCTCCATTGCCTGCCATGCCTTGATGCAAGTATTCTCTGCGCCCCAGAACCAGAAGTCATCGTGAAGCCGGTACAAGAAAGCGCCATCGGTAGCCTGATTGACTGCATAGTCCATACAGAAGAGAACGGATTCCCCGAAGCAGTCACCGAGTGTATGACTCATTGGAATGCCACGCTTACGGATTTGAACAGAGGCATCAGCTCCATCTTGGACAAATTTGAGTGGGGCCTTCAAAAACACTGCGAAAAACTTGATCCAGAGCTCAGAGACCCCAAAGAACTCTAGCACAGTGAGCATGGTGGCATGGGGCATTGAAGGGCCAAACCACTCAAAATCCGACCGGACTGCAGTAAAATCTCCGCGCTGATGCTTATGGATGATAGACTCTGTGATCAGGAGGTGTAGAAGGGAATGCTTTGCATCCAGGGTGTTATTTGTGTTGGACTCTGCGGCATCGTATTCCCGTACGCCTTCATCAATTGAAGCTGGCAGTTGACTCATGAAATATTGGTCGGTGTATGTCTTCCTTCGAATCTCGTTGATCTTGCCGGAGTCCGAGTTGGCTGCTCGGCCAAGGAAGTACTTGCGCATTTCCTTGTGCTCTTCGGGAATATCCTCCTGCAAGGTCTTCCAAGCGTTGGAATGTAGGAATGTCTCAAATACCTCCCGAAGCTTGACAGCCCATTTTGTCCCGATGTACTGTAGCAGAAGGGCATCAAGCAGGTCTTCATCCATGAAAACCCGGTATTTACCGTTGAGCTGACGGCGCATCTCAAGCGGAATACCATCAGCGTCTCCAGTCCATGTCCAGCTCTCGAGCGAGGCAATACGCATGTTGAGTACATCTGCCACCTCCTGGGCAACCTCGGTGTTCCGCATGAACTCTTTCAGGATGGCTATCTTTTCATCGCTGAGGATATCGCTCTTGAGCAGTGCGCCAGAGACCCATTTGAGTTCGTCTACATCGAGCCACTCGCCCTTTGAGATCAAGTCTGTGCCAAACGAATGGATACTTGCTCGGAGATCCTTGAGTGCCTGTTGAGAAAGCTTGGTTTGGGTGAAAAGATCATTGAGGTAGGACTGGATTACGTCTTCGTTGACATGGGTCGCAGCATTAAAAACCAAGGACTCCCAAGTCGCGCGTTGCTCGTGCATTTCTGCCCGTCCAACGTTTTCGAAGGTTGGGTCGGATTCAGTGGATTTGGATTCATTCGCAGTGGAGGTCATGCTTCCATCCAACTCCGACAACCACTCTTTGACTAAATTGCTGTAGAAAGCACCGTGCTCGTGCTTTATCTCAAGATACCGCAGCTCCTTTTCAAGCTGATCGATACGATCCTGTAGAGCTGCCTTGGAGATGGAAGGGTCGTGGCGACTTTGTAGAAGAAAGCGACGAATGTTGGTATGATCGTCTGGCTGCAAACGACCCACTCCTCGGGAAGTGAGTGTGTCTTCTGATTCCTCATCAAAGGAATCAGCGTCTAAATCCACGTCATCTTTGTCGAGCGAATCCTCGGGGAATCCCTTCAAGCGTGAGATTCCATCCAGCAAAGCCTGAGCATGGGTGCGCAGATCTGGGGCTGCGTTGGCAACTGCGAGAATTTCGGTTTTGCGCAGATCAAATAGGGCGCGTTGCTTTGAGAGTTCACTGATTTTTGTGGCAGTGATAGACTTAAGAGTCTGTGGGAGAGCTCCGTTTGCCATAATGGTATTGGACCTTTGAGTTTTATGAGAGAAGGTCCGACTGAAATGAGAAGTCGAGGAGATAATTCGAAGTCGAGAGTTGAAACGCGAAGTTCGGGAGATGCCGCGCCTTAAATGATATGCAAAGGTTCCACACATTGAGTCATAAATGAAGTACAACCTTTGAAATTTTAACGTAACGTAATATTTTCAAAGGAAAAACCCAGGCGGACACCCGATTGAGGTTTAGTATTTTGAGGCTGAGAGCGTGCCATCTGGACACAGCTCTCTCCTTTTGCCGGGTACCTAATCAGGTATAGCGTCAACTGGTCAAAGTACGGAACCCCTGTAGGATATGAGATGAAGGGCTTAGATTGATTGCACTCGACGAATATTCATAGGCATTTTCTTCGGGTAATGACAAAGAACGATGTTAAAAAATCCCATACGGCTCCAACCCCTCATGCAGAGTCAAACCGAGTAGCAAATACTTCGAGCATACCTTGAATTCTCCCTTTGTAGTACTCACTAGCAAAAATTGCCTCTGCGGACTTAATGCACATGTCCAGGAGATCAGTACGACTCAAGCCAAAATGCTGTGCGGCCAACAAGTACTCGTTGGAGACAGGGCTGCAGAAAAACCCTACATCGTCGGTCTGTGGAAATCAAGAGTCAGGGAACGAGAATATATCTCCGTCTTAATTGGCATAACTTACACACAGTGCGATCGGGCAGTGTTCGTGTCGCCAATAACCAAAATGGTGATTCAAGAACCCCCCATTAATCATCTTCGCATGGACGTTGCAAGAAATGCACAGCTCCAGGCTGAGCTTGCGCCGCGCAATCTCCTTCTTGATCGCATCGGGCACATGGATGACATGACCCAGTCGGTCAGGCTGGAAAGAAAGAAGGGTCGATAGCTCGCTCGCG